GAAAGGCGTTTTTTATGATCTATATCCCCATTTCTTCCCAGTCTGTACTAATTTAACAGTTTTCAGAGAAGTGCCTTTGGATAAAGTACAGGCTTTTAAAAAATCAATTTTAAAATAGTCTGAGGATGTTACACTTTTAGCAACTTTCTAAAATTCTGACCTCATAGAAAGAACCCAAATGATGAATATTTGAACATATTTAAAGGCTCAATTCTCCAGAAATGTATCCATTGCACATATCTAACCTTTTTACTTTTTCACTCAATTTCCCAATTTTATGTGGATGAAAGCATAGGCTGTTCCTGAGTACTACATTTTGTTCCCTGGATTTGAAATCATTCCCAAACTGCTTTTTCAAATAATCATTACTAGAACCTTAAGAGGACATAAGAGGCCACTGTACCCTCTGGGCCAGTTACCTGTGAAATTCCCGTCTCTTAAATCAACAGAGAAAATTTCCTCATCACTGTAAAGTCACTGATTTTCTGCACAAATTCTGTTTTTAGTAGAAGATAGTCATACTTACAGGCAAAGTCTTGGTCTTTCTTTAGCATTTAGTTTTTGGTCAGCAAGGCCTGTGAGTCTTATTTATGCTGGGTCATGCCACAGTACTTTGAATTCAAATACTGATCTGAAGTTCTTACAAAAAAATTAAGAAGAAAAACTACTGAATGTAATTAGGATTTTAAAATTTATTTCATGGCTTGAAGGGAGATGAATGTGTCTATAGATACTACTGGTTATAATTTGAAGTAATTGTTAAGAAATTAGATGCTTTGCAGCTATAACAATGCTATAACATTCAACACAGATTTAGATAAATAACTAAAATGTTTTAAGAAGGATAAATTAAGAAAAAGTTTGGAATCGAAAAAAAAAACCCCACAAATATGTGAGTATCTTGCAAGCCAGTCAACCAAACAACCAACCAAAACACACCTGTCAATTCTTCAGGATAAAACAGGACTTCACCAATGGGACGTGTCATCTTCTCAACACTATAATACCCAATACGCTCAAGTTAGGAGATGGATTTTCACCACTCACTTTTAAAATTTTGATATTTTTCTTTGTCTTACACTAGAAACATTGGTGGATTTTCTAAGGGGAAGTCCAGCAGAGGGTTCAAATGGACTGAAAACAAATTATTTTAAGACACAGATCTAGGTCATATCTGCTTTCTGCCCAGGTCTAGGACACTGTACCTCCCACTAGTATCTAGTAGACTATACTGCTACTAGATAATCTATCTAGAGTAGGCCTTCTGGGCAGAGTCCTTTGCTTTTGTGGAGTTGAAACATAAGGTTGATTTCAACACGGTGGTAGCCATACAATGTATGGAGTGTGTGTGTGTGTGTGTGTGTGTGTGTGTGTGTGTGTGTGTCTTAATAAGTCCCAACTAAAAATGCATAAGCATAGCTGTTTTAAGACCCTGGGTATAGTGGGGTCAGTTTTCCCCCAAGGGCCATATTCCTAATGAAGCAGAAGTGTCACCCCTCTCTGAGCAAATGAATTTCAAATCTACTCAGTAATAGCTCTATCCAGTGAGCACAAGCAATGGTAGGTCCTGCTAACCATTTAAAATATGTTATTTCCTTTAACCCTCACCCTGTGAGAGATACAAGGAAGAAGCATTTGTGTTTAAAAGCACATGCTTTAAAACCAATTAAACAAGAATTTGAACCCCAGCCTCACCATTTGTTTACCAAATAACTTCAGACAAGACATAAACATCCCTGAGTCTCACAGCCTCATCTGTAAATTGGAGATGTATGAGCAAATGCACAGAGATGCTTCGACACATATTCTAGCCTTATCAAGTGCTTACATTTTTTGTTCTTATTAATATTCTCATTGTATACGAGAGGGGGACCCAAAAACCAGGAATTTATTTATTAAAAATTGTGTATTTATTATGTTTAAATTTTAGTCACCTTCAAAGTACTCTCTGTTTGATGCGATATACCTATCAAGATGCTTTCTCTACTGCTCAAGACAGTTTTTGAACTTGCCAATTTTGATGCCTTTTGGTGCTTCTGATTATTTTGTTTCACCTCTTCCACATCTGCAAAATGTTTCCCTTTGAGGACTTTTTTTCACTGGGGAAACAAAAAAAAGTTACTCAGGTCAAGATTGGGTGAATAGGGATGGTTAGCACGGGGATTATACTATTTTGTGTTAAAAACTGTTGAACACTCAGTGTGGCATGGGCAAGTACATTGTCATGGTGGAAGAAGTGGTCACCTGTTTGCTGTAACTCGAGATGCTTCTTCCGTAACACACAGCCTGTCACAACAACGCTAGCTGGCACAATGATGCCGATGGGTTCCTAGAACACTCACCTAGTGGGGGAAGACTGTACCAGGGGCCCACTCTACAAAAGATAATTCTGTTTTTTTGGGGGGGTGGTTCTCCCTTGTAGGTGAGGAAACGGAGGCTTGGAGAAGCTACAAAAGGTATCTAAGTTCACATAGTTAGCAAGTAGTGAAACTAGGATTTGAATGAGTGTTTGTGTGACTCCAAAATGTATCTTCTCAACTACTACACTAGATCATTCTCTAACACAAGTTATTGTTTTATCCATTGCCAAAATTACCACCCTGGAGAAAACCCTACTTTGAGAAGAAATAAGGGAAAGACCAACCTTTCCACTGAGGGACTGCACTTACATTTGGTTTTTCAAAATAATTACTTTGCTGTGCCTTAAGAGTAGAGATTTCTAATATTTTTCAGGCTAGAAAAGGATCTTATATGGCTTAGAAAAGGTTCAGCTCCTTGCCTCTAGTTTCCTGCCTCCTAAACTGCTCTTTAAAAGCATTCTTGGGGGCTCCTGACTGAAACCCAGCATGGAATCTAAACACATTGCTTTGGATCCTCTTAGCTTCCAGTTTGGTTTGAGCATTCCTGTTTCAGTTTGTATTGTGGAGAATTTCTACCATTTCTGGCTGCAATTTCACACCTGTCAATCCAATATGACAAAATAGGAGACCATGTCAGGCCCTTAAGAACAGCACATGCCTTCAAGTTTCCCAACAGTTGTGTTTTTAAGCATTAGATCACAATTCTCTAGAATTTCTAGTGGCCTATCCCCTCCATTCATTCCCCCAACATCTGCAGAACATTCATGGCAAAACAAGACAAAACCCCATGCTGACAAATTGTGATTTTTCTCTACTAAATACTTTTTTTCCCCTCCTTTACTGAGGGGTGGGATGAGACACAATCTCCTGATTCATACTGGAAAGAAGAAAATTTCCTTTGGTGCCTGAGATTTGTACAGGACTGTCCATGTTTGGCTTTGTTTGGAGATCAGTATTTAATTTAGAAATGCCTTGAGAGCTGAGATTTCCAACGTCTTTTAGGCTAATAAAGCAAGGCTCTCCCATAGCTTAAGAAAGGCCCAGTTACCATATCTTTTTTCAGTTCATCTGCTGTATGAAAAGCCACTGCATTTGCATTAGAAGCTTAGAAGTTTTCTGGTGGCAGAAGCCTTCAAAGGACAGGAGGACACTGGCTGCTGAAACCTTTGCAACATTCAAGTGCAATTTCAGGAGGACAAGAAGGCAGGAGATAAGCCTTTCCTTTTATGGGGATAGGAAGGCTTAGGCTTGCACTTGGCACAGTGCAGAGTGATTTGGAAGAATAAGGCTCCCTTGGTTTAGATCCCAATTTCTAAATCTCTCTCGGGAGATGAAGGCCCTTCCTGTGTGCCTCTCACAATCAAACAGTTGGTTACAGCCTCTCCCCTCCATGGCTTTGAAATCCTCTCTATTCACAGGGTCACAGTGAGACAGCCCTGGGGCAAGGATGGCCATAGCTTCCTGGGCTCTGCTGGCTGGATTTCACTGTAGGAAGGGTTTCCAGCGCTGGGCAGGGCTGCCCTTGGACTCACAGACGCCCACCACTTGGTGGAACAACAGGCCCACGCAACCTCTCTGTCCCCAGATAGCCTCTTGCTACATTAATTGCATCATTGATGCACTAAAAAAAATTGAAGTAGCCTTTTTATTCTAAGGCCACCATTTGAAGAGGAAAACATTTAAGACCAGCCTTTGTGACTGTCACTGATAACACTCCTTTCATTTTACTTTACAGTTGTGGTCTCTCTGAGCAAGGAGGGACTGATCTCGCCTGTTTGTGAAGAATTATGCTCTGTATTTTTAGTGCATCCTGTGCTAGAAAAGAACTCGACAAGATGACTTTGCCCAGAGGTCTTAACAGAACAATGCTAGTTCAAGTCTAATGGAATCAACGCTCCATTTGGTTAGTGCCCCAAACATGGGTATCCTTTTGACAAAAGGATAGTTTAAACAGTTATAGGTTTGACTTGTCAGTTAAAAAACAAACAAACAAAACTCACATAATTACCTCATTTCCACAAAGAGTTAATGAACAGTCACCGAATTAATTTGCCCTGTCCAGCTAACAGCTGCAGCCAGAGCCCCAAGCAACTGATACAGAGACACATCAATCTGACTAGAATGCCTGCACCTGTGTGCATTCCCAACCTGTGTGGAGTGTGCCCAGGTGCTTCCTGACCCAGTACCCAGGCCTCCTCGCTCTGCCAGCTTATCTCAGGCTGACTTGACCTGGGAAAGTTCTACCCCTGTTTGCAGATTTCATATGTGCCTGCAGACAGGGGACACTGCCTCATGCAGGACACATATAGAAGCAGCTGTGGGCTGGGACACCTCAGGGGCCCCTGCCTGTGTGCAGAGGCACTGGGCTCACAGATTTCACATGTGCCTGCAGACAGGGCGCAATGCCTCGTGTGTGTGTGTGTGTGTGTATGTGTGTATGTGTGTGTGTGTGTGTGTGTGTGTGTGTTTCCCCAACGGGCAGGACACCCCAGAGGCCCTGGTCCATGTTTTAGGGGGCAGATAATGATTTCATAGGTGTCTGTAGACAGGGCACAATGACTCGCATGTGTGTGTGAGATCCTCAATGGGTAGGTGGCCCGAAGGGCCCCGGCCGGAGTGGAGGGCGCAGGGAGCACTCACCTGGAAGATGAGCACCTTGAAGCGGTTGCGGCGCAGCAGTTGGGCGTGGTTGCTCTCCAGGCGTCGGACTTGCGCGCTCTGTCGGTCCATGCGCTCTCGCACGGCCCGCGTGTGCGCGCTCACCCGGCGTGACTTCTCCAGCAGCTTGCCCACGGTGGCACTGGTGGAGGCCTGGCACTTGGCCAGCTTGCCCAGGTCGCTTTGGATGCCCCGGACCGAGCCCTCCAGGCCGATCTGCCGCTGCTCCATCTTGTGCTGATTCTCCTGCACAGCGTCCAGCATCCTCACTAGCTTGTCCAGCAGCGTGAGCACCGTCACGGCGTTCACCTGCGAGCCGTCGCGGACCGCCTCCTCTGGGACACCCAGGGCCAGGCTGGTGCTCCGGGAGGAGGAGGAGGGCTGCGGGCTGGGGTTCAATGGCTTCTCCTGCCTTGCGTGCACGTGGGACCCCGGGTGCTGGAGCTTCTCGGCCTGGGCTGCATCCTCCCCCATGGCCGGGCAGGTGGGGACGTTCTTGCTGGGGGGACGAGGGCGGTGGTGAGGGCGCAGGACCAGGCCCGCTGGTGGGAGCTCGGAGAAGCCAGGGGTTCAGACAGGCAACAACTGGCCAGGCTGATCAGGGGAAGCAGCACTCCAGCTGCTTTAAAGGCCCTACCCCACCCAGTGGGAGGAGAAGGTTGCAGGACGCAGAGCCACTCAGGGCTCGAAGCCAGCACACACTTCCTACCGCGGCCTCCTCGGTACCGGGGCACTTTGCTGCAGGTTCAGCTTTTCTTTCCCACTCCCTTTCCCTTCAAAAAAAAAAAAAAAGTTCTGAGCCATATTTCAATCATGTCTTCATCTAGAAGAGGAGGAAAGCATGTTCACTTGGCCCGGCTCCACCACTTCCAATTGGCTAACTCGGGTAAACTTTCCCCTGGCTGCTATGCTACCGGCGCAACAGTGCCTGTTTTTTTTCCTGGACACGAGTTATTGTAACGGAAAGTATTGTTTGCATTTGCCCTAGAACTGAGTGATGGGCTGAAGAACACCCGGTGTCCTGCTGGGAGGGGTAGGGTTTAAAGGGTACTGGCAGCCAAGTTTGTATTGTTAGTTTCTCATTTGCAAAGGAGGGGAAGTAACCCTGATAATGACAGGAGAAACAATCCGGTTCAGTTAGTATGATTCTTTGCAGTTGGGGGAGACAGAATAAGTTGAAAGAGATTGAAGTTCAGGGATGTTAAAACAAGAAACACAGACCTGGACTGTTATCATGGAACAGATGGGGTTTGTTTGGTCACCTCCTTTTTTTAATGTGAAAGAGGGGTGTTGTTTTTCTGTCTTAATGGGTGGCATTGAAAGAGAAAAAAAACAACAAAAAAGTATGGTCTTTTTAAGAACCTACCATGCTGGTTTGTTTGATCTGATTTTGAGTTTGTGCAGAGAGATTTTCTGATGCCCGTCTCGGCAGGGCACGCCTTGACACATGCCCAGAAGTGTGACTGTCGGCATGTTGAGTTGGAGTTTCTGAAGTGCTTCTAATGTCTGACATTTCCAAATTCCTGCTCAGTGAAGTGGCACACCTATTCTCAGACATGGTCCTCCTCAGCCGAACCCTTGGGATGTAGGGTTTATTTCCAAAAACGACTTTACTTGCTTGAATTGATTTTAAATGTATCTAGTCTTTGCAAGTGCTTTCAGCAGGAAGCTGGTAATAGGCCTTCCACTAACAATTTCCAGAAGAAGAAATGCCAACTCTTATGGGGTCAGGGATGGAAATGGCGTTATTCTCTCACGATCCAGAGGATACCAGCAAAACATGATTCAAGACCCTGCTCTTGATGCATCCATCTGTTAGTTAGGAAGATGAATTAAAGATATTGACAAGGGTCCCCAATTTCCTCAGATAATTGGTACCCCTAAAACCCACTTAAAGCGAATCCTTGAAAAATAGGGACCAAAAAAAGGAAAGGAGTTTGGGTAAGATATTATCTTTTTAAAAAGTAAGACGATTATTATGCTTAATTTACCTTATGCTTACCGAGAGTTAGTTGGTTAAAAATGTGTTAAATATCAGAATAAAGGATGAATCAAGTGTTGATTTTGAGAAGCATAATTTTCTAACAGAATTACATGTATCATGATACAATGTCCTTTTGTGTTTGACTTCTCTGGGCAAATCATAAAGAGTGTCATTATTTCAAAAATATTTGAGGGTTTCATCAATTTTCCAAGATCCTCTCTCGGGTTTTGACATTCAAATTCTTCCCTTTTGAAGCACTTACTGTGCCATCCTCCATGTGGGTTTTTTCTTCTTCCAATGTTAACCATTCCAGCTGCAGCTCTTCATCTACCAAAGGAGTTGCCCGTGATTCAAGGGCTTCTCTGACACCACCTTCATCAGTTTCATGATTTCCTACGTGTTTTGCAGGATTTGCAGTTTCCCACTGTAATCACTTCGCCCTGATTTTGCATTGATTTGTGCTGATTTCGCACGGCATTGTTGGATATCAGACAATCAACACGATGAAGAGACATCACAGAGAAGGGGTGTGAGGTAGGAGAGGAGAGAGGCTCATTGTGACACCGGAAGAAAGGTTGCTGTGTGGGCTTATTTTTTAAGATCCATGTTGAGTCACACAAGTAATATGTTATTGTCAGTTATCTATTGCTATGTAACAAACCAGCATGAAACCCAGTGGCTTGCAGTAACAATCATTTTATTTGCTTGTGATTATGTGGTTGGTAGGGCTCACTGGGAAGGGTTCAGCTCTGCTAAGCTGAGGAAACTGAGGTCTCATTCCCTGTCTGGTTCCTCATCTGGGACAGCAAGGATACCAGGATTTCTCTGTCTCTCAGCCTCCAGGGCCTCCTCTCCATCGTATGTCTCTAGTAGGGAAGTCAGACTTCTTTACATGGTGCCTCGGAGTTCCAAGAGAGTAGAAGCAAAAGCTGTGAGGTCTCTAAAGGCTCTGGAAGTGTCCCTTGTCACTTCCACCGGATGCCATGGTCCAAGCAGGTCCTGGGCCAACCTCAGAGTCTAAAGGATGGAAAGAGACTCCTTCATGGAAGGAGCCACAATGTCCTCTGACAAAGGGTAAGCAGCATGGGAGAGCTTGTTGCCAACTTTGGAAAAACCTACAAAATGATTACATTCTTCTTTCAGAAGACTATTGCAGATAAAACTGAAGGCCCTTTGATCACCATTTCCATTCTGTTTCCTTCCCCCTAGGGTTGGAGGTAACCATTTTTATAAATTTGGTATATATCCGTAGGAAACTGTACTGACAAGTGATCAATTTACTAGTGAGAGATTTCATGTTCTGATGCAATTTGTCGCACACTCTTACAATCACAGAACTAGGAGGTCCTAGGTAATGGGAACACTCCTGTCCTGCACATTATGTCATGTGACTGAGTATAGACTGCGATGCAAACTCTTAGGACTGTAAGGGTTTCTCTAAAGGAAAAGCAGAGAAATGAAAGAAGGCACTGTTGATGTGTTAGAATTTGAGGTAGCCCTGAGCAGCCAAGCTTGCTATATGGCCACCCTCAATTAAGCCTTATTTCTTTCTGAGACGAACTCAGCAATCAATTTTTTCTTTCTTCCTTTTGTCCTTTCTTTCTTTTTTTTAACTTTATTTTATTATAAAGATGTGGTGTACGAGTCAGGATTAGGCACACAAGTAGTGTACGTACTGCTGAGGTTTGGGCCTCCAACTGGTCCTCACTTCCCCTGGTTTAGGACGAGGTACCCTTTGTGTTGCTATGTGCTTCCCCCTTCCTTTCTACCCTGGCAGTGTCCCGTGACTGCTGATCCCTCCCTTGTGCTTTGTGAATAATGTTCAGGTTCCACTTATGAGTAAGACCATATGATATTTGGTTCTTTGTTTCTGTGATCGATCACTAAGAATGATTGTCTCTAATTCTATTCAATTTGCTGAGAAGTCCATGATTTTGTCCTTCTTTATGACTGTAATATTCCATCATGTATAGGTACTACATTTTCTTTATCCAGTCTATTTTCAATAGGCAATAGGGTTGGTTCCATGTTTTTGCTATTGTGAACAGTGTGGCAATGAACATGTATGTGCAGGTATCTTTTTTGTAGAACGATGTGTGTTCCTCTGGGTATATTCCCAGAAGGGAAATTGCTGGATCATGTAGAAGGTGAATTTATAGTTCCCTCAGATATTTCCATACTATTTTCCATAGAAGTTGGACTAGTTTACACTCCCACCCACAATGTAGAAGAATCCCCTTTTCTCTGCACCCACACCACCATCTATTGTTTTTTTATTTATTAATGATGACCATCCTTACTGGGGGTAAGGTGGTGTCTCAGTGTGTATATCATCATATACAAAACCCAGCTCTAAATGGATCAAAGACCAAAACATAAAGCCTCAAGCTATAGTAATCTTAGAAGAAAACGCAGGAGGTACTTTTTTGCACATTGGAATAGGCAGCCAATTCTTGATAGTATCTCCAAAAACATATGCCATAAAAGATAAGATAGACAAGTAGGACTCATCAAATTTAAAGGCTTTTGCATAGCAAAAGAAGCCATCAAGAGTGTGGGGAGACAACCCACAGAACAGGAAAAAATATTTACTAATTATGCATCTGACAAAGGCCTACCATCCAGGATCTACAAGGAACTCAAATGAGACAAAATGAAAACAAACAAACAAACAAACAAACAGTTCTTTAAAAAAATGGGCAGAGTACATAATAGACATTTCTCAAAAGAAGACATATGAGCAGCCAATAGATTCATGAAAAAATGCTCAGCCTCACTAATCATCAGTGAAATGAAAATCAGCAGTCAAGTCTTAAAAGAAGTTGAAAAAAAAATCAAATATACCTATGGCATGCTGTGAAAGTCCTTGGAAATTAGATAGTGGAGTGTAACTTGATACAATGATGGGTAGCAGACTCCTGGAGACTTTTACACATGTGAAAGTTATATGTGTAAGGATTCAGGCTGGGCCTGTGGCTCACAAGAGGAGGCTGAGGTGAGAGGATCTCTTGAGGCCAGGAGTTTGAGACCAGCCTGGACAACATAGTAAGAACCCCCCCCCATAGCCTCTACAAAAAATAATAAATAAATAGGAAGGATTTGTGCATCAATAAAATGTACTAAGGGATCACTCAGCTGGTGGGAACTAATTGCTAGGGCTGAGGATGCAAAGATGATTGATACTTATTTCCTGCCCTTTTAAAGCTCTCACCTTGGAATGAGGATAAACAAGTACAGTAAGTCTCCTACATGTGAACAAGTTCCATTCCAAGAGTGTATTTGTAAGTTCGACTTGTTCATAAGTCCAACAAAGTTAGCCTCGGTACCCAACTAACACAATCGGCTATACAGTACCAGCTACATTACCACAGCTTTTACACTCGCTTCTGAACATCCTGGGCTTGAAGTAAAGATATTGTACTACTCTACTCTAAAAGGTACTGTACTGTCAAGTGCACAAAAGCACAACTGCTTGTAGAGGATGCATGTA